GGTCGACTACGTGGGAGTCCAGCGACACAGCCATTACGCTAACTGCTGGTCCCGGTGCTGGTTATTTTCTAAAAGTCCCCTAAGAGGCTGGAACCCACGGAGACTGACTCTGTCGGTTGACCTTCACATAACTCTGGACAATGAGTATAATCACACGCTGGACAGAGAAAGAAACTGTGGCTTGGAGAGATTAAGGGTCTCTCCCAGTAGCTCACCAGATACAGCTGTCAGGGCCAGGATTTGAAGCTAGGTCTGTCTTTCATTTATTCATGAAACTCAGCACCCTCCTCAAAAGAAAACAAGATACTAGGCCAGCAGGTGGGGTGGAAGTTAAGAGGGTGGATCCCACATGGCCGACTCTGAGTCTGAGTCCTGGACCTGGTAGCTTGAAAAACATGCTGGGCACATGTGCGTGCATGCCCAAAATCCTGAGAGGAGAATGCAGGAGTGAGGCTTGCAGAGTGGCCATCCTCCCAGTAGGTGATTTCTTACTTTCCCTATCTCTTTCTCTCTTTCTGGAGAGAGCATGCACCCTTTAGCAAAAACTTTGAAACAAAGAAAATGAAAACAAGATACCAAGAGGTCCTGCCCTCATGAGATCCTCGAGTGTCTCAAAGAGTGGATCTGAGAGTGCTCTGAGCGCAGCCGTGAGGAGGTGGAGGGTGGAATCTAGGCTCTCTGTCTCCCAGTAAAGATGCCCATGCATGCTATAGTCCCTGGAACCTGTCAATCTGTGACCTTCCATGGCAGGTGCAATTAAACCAAGGATCTTGACCCAGAGAGATGATCCTGAATTATCTGGATGTGCCTAATGGCATTGCAAGAATCCTCAGAGAAAAGAGGGAGGCCTGAGAGTCAGGGACTTCCAGAGGGTCTGAGTTAGAAAGAGCTGACAATGGTATGCTTATGGCTTTACAGATGAAGAAAGGGGCCAGGGGACCAGCAGTTAGTGTAAGGGCTATGTCGCTGGACTCCCACGTAGTCGACCATAATTCGCGTCCTGGACCCGGTGGCTTAAAACTCATGCCGGGCGCGTGTGCGTGCATGCCCAAGATCCCAAGAGGAGAATGGAGCAGAAGGGACTGCGGCATGGCCATCCCTCCTGGGGGGATGATTTCTTGCTTTTTGTCTCTTATTGAAAAAAAAAAGAAAAAGAAAGAAAGGGGCCAGGAGCCCAGGCACCTCTCGAGAATGGAAGAGTCAGTGGAACCATTCTCCCGTGGAATCTCTGGAAAGAGCGAGCATGGTCCTGCAGATGTCTTGATGTAGTCTAGTAAAACTGTTTGAGACTTCTGACCTCCAGAACTATAAGATGTTAAGCACGTGCTTTTACTGCTATTTTTTTTTAGACTGCCAGCGTGCTCACGTGCACCCCAGAGAGACAAGCGAGGGAGATGGAGAAAATGCCGTGTAACTGGGCGTGGTCACACCGCGATTCCTTCTCCTTCATTCCTCTCTCCTGATGTGATTTTGGGAACACACACACATACACGGCTGGTGTGTCTTTCAAGCCATGAGGGCTGGAATTTGAACCTGGGCTGGTCACATGGGACCTGGCTCCTTTCATCTCCAGTCACTGAGGCTGGCCCAAGGGCGTGCTGTTTAACACACGAGATTCACAGTCAGCTGTCACGGCGTCACAGGGGACAAGCACAGTGGTGTAGCCCTCCCGTCCCAGGGCTCGCCAAAGGCTTTCCTCCCCTCTGACATCTGGGCTGGGACCTCAAGTGTGAACGGGAGTCTGACGGGAGACAGAAGTATAAGAGGAAGATGTAGTGGAAGACCAGATGTTGTGGAAGACCACAACAAGAGCAGCTGTGAGAGAGAGGCAGGGGCTGAAGCACCTCATCAAGGCGAACCACAGGGCCTTGAGAGG